CCTGCTCAACGGGGCCGCCCGGGGCAGCCGCGCGGCCTCCCCCATGGGCCGCGTCATCCTCATCAACTCCCCCATCGAAGGTGCGTGGGGTGCGTGCGGGGCACCCTTCCACGCTTCGGGCCTCCTGCAGGGCCAGGGGAGGGGGCAGCCCAGCAGGGGAGACCTTCATCCTCCTCTTCTGACAGCAACGGAGCCCCTGGCTCCAATCCTACATGGGACACCTGGATCCTTAGTCTGCTGCAAGGCACTTGAAGCACAGTGTCCCCACGCTGTGCCTCAGTTTCCCTATTTGGAGCTGAGGAGGGCCAAATGCCTCTCTCCCCATATGATCGGCCGCGCTTCCTGCTCCTCGCTCACCCCCTGCCTGGGACCAGCCCAGGTGACGCATCCCGGCCCCTGTCCCCACAGCCAGCAGCAATGAGAGCAATGTCATCAATGCCATCACGGTGGAGAAGAGCATGGACGGCAAACTGGGCTTCAGCGTCCGCGGTGGCTCCGAGCACGGGCTCGGCATCTTCGTGAGCAAAGTGGAGGAGGGCAGCGCTGCCGGTAAGCGGGACCAGGCAAGGGACACCAGTGGGGACAGACATGTACTACCAAGAGCCCCATGGGGAGCTCCCAGGGACCATGTGGCACACCTTCCTGCTGCCTGTGGGAGGGACCAGGTCCTATCCCTGCAGGTCCCCAAGCCCAGCACCCAAGCGCCACCCTTATGGCACTGTCTGCACCCACCGTTTGGTCCTCTACCTTCTCCAGCTGTGGCGGTTTCAGGCTGCCTATGGAAAAGGGCTGGGGTACAGGTGCAGGCAGCCCCGGGCTGATGGCCCTGAGCTCTAGCCAGGCCATTCTCAGGCCACATTGAGGTGACGAGTCTCCCTTCCCTGCTACGGCCTCGGTGTGGTTGATGGGGACCTGCTTCTCCATCCCCATAGGCGCACTCCCCAAGCCCGGGCACTCTGTGACCTGGGGCATCCCAGATGTCCCTGGCATCACCACCACACCAGGCTTTGCGTGCCCCTGGGCCAGCGCCGTGCCTGCGTGGGTCAGGCACCCTGTTGAGCCACGTGCCCCTCGCAGAGCAGGCTGGGCTGTGCGTGGGTGACAAGATCACGGAGGTGAACAGCGTGAGCCTGGAGAACATCACCATGAGCAGCGCCGTCAAGGTCCTCACCGGGAACAACCGCCTCCGCATGGTGGTCCGGCGGATGGGCCGCGTGCCGGGCATCAAGTTCTCCAAGGAGAAGACAGCCTGGTGAGCAGAGCTTCCCCCGTGCTGCAACCCCCAAAGCCCAGCCCCATGGAGGTGGGCGCAGTGAGGATGCTCTGGGGGAGCTGAGCATCAGGGCTGAGTGGCAGGGTGGATCCCAGAAGTGGGCAGACGAAGGGGGGGGGATGCAGAGGGTCCCCACCTAAGCTAGGGAGAGCCCAGGGTGACGCACAGGGGGCTGTGGGGTAGGAAGGACTGGAGCAGGCAGGGTGGGTGCGAGCCTGCATGGAGGGCTGGCCCCAACCCCAAAGCCTCCCTTCCCCATTGCTGTCCTCTGCTGGACGGTCCCGATGTCCCCGTCCCACTGGAGGACGAGAGCCAGACCCCACAGCCTCCCCAGCTCTCCCCAACGCCGTGGCTGTGCCGCAGGGTGGACGTGGTGAACAGGCGCCTGGTGGTGGAGAAGAGCGGCTCAACGCCGTCGGAGAGTGGCTCCGAGGACGGCCTGCGGCGCATCGTCCACCTCTACACCACCTCCGACGACTACTGCCTGGGCTTCAACATCCGCGGCGGCAGGGAGTTCGGCCTCGGCATCTACGTCTCCAGGTACGGTCACCCCGCGTGCCTGCCAGGCTCCCCAAGTGCAGAGATGGGGACCGACCCCCTGCCTTGAGTGTTGGGGGCACAGAGCTCCCCAGGTGGAGCTGTGGGGCAGGAGCAGAGGTCCAGCGAGGACTCGGTCCCATCCTGCCCCCGTGCTGCCCTAGGGTGGACCCTGGGGGGCTGGCAGAGCAGAACGGCATTCAGGTAGGAGACCAAGTCCTTGCAGCCAACGGAGTCAAGTTCGAAGACATAAGCCATAGCAAGGCAGTGGAGGTGCTGAAGGGGCAGACTCACATCATGCTAACCATCAAGGTACCCGCAAGTGACAGAGAGGGTCCACGTGCCCCCACGCCTGGTGCTGCCCCAGCTCGGGCTGGTGCCCGTGGCGGGGTTGGCGCTGCTGCGGGGCTGGTTGGGTTTCAGGCCGGTGGGAGGGGAGATGCATTATTCATG